TATTAGGTGAAATGAAGCCAGGGTCCTTGCCTTGTCCGTCGTCACACTCATTTAAACCTCGCTCATTCTTTACTAGATGAGATGTTTAATAGTTCAAACATATTTCACCAAGAATTGTAGCTGTTCTGTGTTTACAGTCTCAAGTAAAAATATGTGACCCAAAATAAAATATACATTTTAAAGGAAAGCCATATGGCTTTAATGACTTGAAGTGTTTCCATTTTTACTGAATCCAACAATTACAAAAAATAGTAAATTAATGAGCAACTACGTATGGTGGTGACCGTGGGGAATTCAATAAAGAAGACAGGAGAAGAATCAATGCGTTTGAATTACGGTGCTGGCAAAGATGACTGAATGTATCGTGGGCTGTCAAACGAACAAACAAGTCTGTCCGTGAGGAAGGACGGCCAGAGCTCCTCAGAGGCAGGGGCGGCAAGACTTCATCTCAAGTGATTTGGACATGTTATCAGGAGAGACCAGTTCCTGCAGGAAGATCTCATTCACGTGTGGAAAAGTGAAGGGCCGTGATGAAGAGAAGTCTGTCAAGGCGATGGACGGACGGACGGAGAGGCTGCAACAAGGGGCTCAAACACAGGAACAATGGTGTGGACAGCGCAGGACGGGGCAGTGTTTCGTTCTGTTGGGGAGCATTGCCGGGGTTGCTCACAGCACTAACAACAGGTGCGATGGAGGAAATTATAACTACAAGGATTTGCAGTATTGGCAGTTTGCGACCTTAAGACATCAGCCTGAGAAGCAAGAGATTTCTTTTGTCAGTGAACTCTTTCACGAAACCCTCTTGTCACTGAATGTTAATGGTGTTCACAATTTATACAAGGAACACAGAGTTCTGACTAGAAATGTCTTCCAACACTTGATAATTGATTCGCTTAGCCCTAACTCTTAAATCCAAAAAAACACAAAAAACCCCAAATCTGTAGAAATAATTTTGCCTGGATGATTTTAAAGACAAAAAATCTCGTTAAATAATTATTGGCAGGCCAGCTATCTGGTTGTTTCAAAACACCCTGATATCCACAGGGCCAGTAACCTTGCTCCCTCGGAAACAGCCGGCCTGCACAGAGACGCATTCACATAAAGAGTTCAATTTCTTTCTCTCTCTACCCTGCACCTTAGTCTCGGGTCTCTTTTCCTAGTGAAGTCCTTAAAAAAATAGGTCTGTGTGGAACAGAGAAGCTTGAGGAGTCCAAAAACAGTTGGCCTTCAATAAAATTATAACTGCTGTTTTCCTGTAAAAGTTCCTTGTTTTGTTCTTCTCAGATTACATTTGGAGAAACCAAAGACCTAAAGAGTAAGGTTATTAGATTTCAGTCAAAAAAAATAAGACAACTCTAATGCTATCCATAGAGCCAATCTCTTCCGGCTCAATGCTTGGATGCAATATCCAAATTTAAAGGAAAAAATAAAACAATTAACCATTAATGTTCAACAGAGAACATTTTTTCACCCTAAAACACACTACAAGGCTTTAAAAACGCAATGAGTGATATTTTAATATTTGAGCCATGCCCTTAGCCATCGTGGAGTTCATCCTTCACCATGATCAACTCCATAGAGCAAGAGGTCTATTGATTTTCATGTAATACAAGAAAATATTACATTTGCTTAATTGTTACACAGTGAGCACATCAGACAAGAAATCAAGGTTCTATTTAATGCTGCAAGCAGCAGAGAATTACAGAGATCAATAGGGTAGTTTGTCAAAGATGTTCTCCAAGGAGACTGACCTATCACTGTATGGACAAGAAGGCACACTGACTGCAGCTATTGAAAACCAAGTCAGCAGAGTCAGCAGTGCAAATGATCAGAAATCAAACAGGCCAGTGTGAGGAGAGGTGCAACTCCACTGAAAAGCTGTATTTATAGTCTGGTAATTAAAAACCATTTTATCAGCCCTGTGTTGGGACCAAACCTTTACGGCAAGTATTGACAGGATGGGCAGCAATGAGCAAGCGGGATTTAACTTAAAACTTATGAGCTATAGTTATTTAACTTTGCCCATTACAGAGGAAATCAGTTCTAGCCTTCCATGCAAAATGCTAATAGCCAGTTTTATTATTAATGAAGCTTAATGTAACACTATCTCCTTTGTGTAAACCATTCATTTAACTAGTGTCAAGTATATTCTTCTGGACTAAATATATTGGCATAAGTACTTGTTTGATTAAAGTGTTAGTTGGAATTGCTTTCAGACAGTACACACCACATACTCCTTCATGTGACGAACAGTTCCCCCTGCGTAGCTCATGTACAATGACGACCTTTAACACAGCTAGTTTCATTCTTCTAATGCTTTCAACCCACTCACTTTCGATTGCCTTGCTAAGAGTAAGCATCCAAATGTTGGTTAGATTGAAGTTTGCTAACAAGCTTGGTTACAAAAATGTGTACATTTCCAGGATATCAGCAATACTATAACAAAATCTATGTATGTTTATAATTATGAGGCAGTCATGAATCTTAAACACTCATTGGTTTAGCAATGACATAGCTCTGTACTCATGTGCCTCTTACATCCATGCTGTGTTCTGTGAAATAGAATGGTACGTGATTTGGACATTGGCAAACACCAGGTGTGAACATCCTATCCTAGTTTGAATTTGCTTGTTCTGTAAGCACTTCTAACAAGTGCTGTGCCTTAGCAGTGATCACCAATGTGCTGACAAGAATTCCACATCATTAGCGATTTCGCCATACCTGATGGGAGGGCCCGCTCAGATTTTTTTTTTAACCCATATAGACTATGCTTAATCAGTTTGGATACTTTTTTTGTTTTTGAGCATCACTGCAATTATTGAATGTAGTAACATACGTGGATTTTCTACCTTTCTGTTGCTTGCTAACATTTGTTTCACTTCCAAATGGGTCATTTCTTTTGCCTCTTACTGCTGTTATCACTAGCCCTAGTCTTGCTGAATTTGGGAGCTGTGATCAATCTCATGGTAGTATTTTTTTTTAAAGCAAATTCAACAGAGAGATGACCTTACCACACTCAAGAGATGTGAAATTGTAAGCTGTTGTCTGGAGTTTAAGCATATAGGGATACATAGCAAACTTCTAAGTTAAACAGTACACACATAATCCAGTAACAGGTGTTTCCTGTGATGATCAAGACATATGTATTATAGGTTACATGGATGTACTGTATAGCATTATGCGCCTGGCAACACAATCACATTGCATACAAGAGACATGAAACATACTGCTGTGTAGGACGCGGTGGCCTTCCCTAACTCCCATTCTCCGATCGGGCTTTCTGATGGGGCCCCAGACCATATGCCCAGTCAGATGTTGCCCAAAAGGACACTAGTTGGTACATGACTATTTTACTCTCCTGCATTACTCCACATTTCTGAAATTTACCAGTCATCTGGGTATTCAGTAACTACTCCCAAGGATAAGTTTTTAACGACTTTGCTTTCAAAAATGCAATCAACTTAAAATCCTAACACAAAACTGCCATTAGGTCGTTAAAATTTCAGCGCAGTCCCCATTCCCAGTAAGTCTGTGGATATGTACTCTTTCAGCTAATAGTTCACTGAAGCAGTTTATCCAGTCTATCGTTCTGGGTCTTTCAAGATTTTAATGGTTCTTAAAGCTTTATCAGCATGCTATTTTCACTTCCTGCTTTTGCATTAATCTGAGTTATTACATTGTTTTAAAGCAGTGGTGGTAATAGTAGTATGGCATTAGCGCTCTTTACGCCATCAGAAATGCCAACATTACGCCCAACCTTTCATCTAGGTACTAAGTGGCAGGGGTTGTACATCATTCAACCTTAACATCATTTGAAATCCTGGCAGCAGAATGGTCAAGGTTTCAGAATGAAATTCGATTCTCATCAACTTTGGATCTTTTTTCCTTCTCGGAATACAAGTCAGTTTCTGCTTCCAATGATAAAAATGACTAAATAAAGCCCCATCATTTAAAGACGACTCCAGATATTATGTCTTGGCACAGGTGATCTCCATGGGACAGAATGGTGTGATCTTAAACCCTTGTAAAGCACCCCTGGCAGCTCCAGCCTGCCTGTCAATTTCAAATTCAACAAAAGCAGTGTCATGCCTTCCAGGTACCAGCCTGACTTCCTGAACACCAGCAAACTGATACAACCGCATGGGCAACATCAGCTCATTAGTCTCTTCGGGTAAGTTATCAAGGAATAAAATCGTCTGGAGAGTACTCAGAGCTGGGGACCTGGGGTTGAATTTCCAAGTGTTGGTCTTCTCTAGCCAAGTGTTGTTGTGGTTATTGCAGTTTCTTTCAGTTTGGACTTTTTCATTTGTCAGCAAAAATGCCAAGCATTTTAGATATATCAGAATGTTTTGCAGACTGGATTCACGTTGGTTTGCATAAAATGGAAAACCTTGAAACTTGTCTCGGGGCATTTGGGGATGAGCCCAGTTCTTTAAATGTAACAAAGGCCTGTTCCCTATCTTCAGTTTTTAAAGCCACAATATCGACCACATGGCCATATTGAGGAAACAGCATAGAAGGACCTCTTCAATTCCTTTAATATATTGTCATTCATATTGACAGAAGTTGTATGATTTGGTCTGATATCCATGTTTTTGGTTATGTTGTTCAGACAACCTGAGGCCTTCTCCAATTAGTTGGATTTCTCAATGATAATATATTACCTCTCCTGTATGCCCTAGTATCCTCTACTTCATTTTCCCCAAGTTATATGAAAAAAATGTCCCCTTCCTTTTTTTTGGGGGGAGTGTATTTTTTCTCTTTAAAGAGTTTATTTAAATTGTTATTGCCTAACTATGGAGTCTATATATATTATGATCATTTTTTATCTGTAGTTTAACCTAGCTCTAGGAAAAAAAATCAATGTGCAGCTTCGTGTGTCTGTTGCTCCCATTGGCTAAAGAGAATATGCAATATATAACAATGTGTGGCAAGCTTTGCCTCTCGAGGGCAATGATTCATCTTAGAGAACCAAATACCGTAAAAGAAGGGAAAAAAGATGTTTGCAAAAGTTTTATTTTAAAGGATCAACAATAAATATTGCACATTCGCACAGCAGAAAATCCACTGCTATTTATGTTCTCTGATGCACAATTTTCAATACATGGCGCCTTCATCTTCTTTATTTAGAAAATATACTGTTATTGGTCTGTAACTGGTATGCACAGTCTCGGTGACTCTTGCAAAGAGCCAGGAGCCAAGTCCATACAATAAAGTTGGGATTCCTAGAAAACAAGTGAATATGTTATTGACAAGCAATACTGGCTACTCACGTACCCAAACATTTGTCACAGTATAAATCACGGAACAGTCCTTAGCAACAATAGCCAATGACCAAATTATGAAAACATTACTCCACATAACATAACAATCATCTAAGCGTCCGACTTTTATCTGTTTGGGGAACATGGTGACAAGATGTCTAAAACTACAGGTAGGGCTGGATAAACCCTAATGCAAAGGGCTTATAAGCCCTAGTTTAGTACTTTCAAATAACTGACATCGTTCTACATTCTTTTCACAAATACGCAAACAGAATAGTCATTACTTTAGCTGTGGTGCCTCTGAGGTTGGCCTGGAGTGTAAGTTACGAGCGAGGTCAGTTTTACCTTTCTTCAGGGTAGACAGTAACACTGCTGGCTGAAGCAGTGTGTACAACTCAAAAAAAACTGGGTAAAATGGTTGTCTCTTAGAAGCCAAGGTTAAACTTAACTCTGAGGAAGATTTTCATGTAAGAGGCATGACAAAAAACCACTTGCCTTCATGTTTTCATAACCAATTTGATAGCAGTTTTATTTTACCTGTTTGAGGTAGATAAATAGATTACAACAGAGTTCTTTGGAAGATTTCATTTGATAAAAGTTTTTTTTTTTTTAATGTTTTCTTACATTTGAGATTACCAGTGGTAGCCATTTACAATACATGAACCTACAGGCAGACAACCCCGACATACAGATTAAGCACTTACATGAATATGACACTATGTTGGACACAAAACAAACATGCACAGGCTGATCCTTTATAAGGTACTTATTTAAGAGTAAGTATTCTTAACATTTTAGAAACATGTATAGAACCACAGGCATCGAAATCAACAATTAGCTCTGCCCGAGTATTTATTTTACGGCTTCTTCGTGGGAGCTGCTCAGAGTGCGTTTAAAGGGAGAGCTGTGCATTCGGAAAGCTCTCGTTCAGGTTAATAGGGAAATTACCACGAGCTCAGAAGTAAGCACATGGCTGATTTTTACCCCTTCCTTTTCTGCAGGAGTATATTTGCTGTGTGAGGCTCTTCCGGAGTGCATACGTGCACTAAGCTTCATTGTGCTTGTCCCCGATGCTGCATTCGGCCACAGGGATGTCAGAAATTGAGAGGTGCCATTAGCTGGCAATGAGAAGGAGAAGGGGACAAAAGCCACCACAGACTCCCACCTACTTTTAGGGATATGTACACAAGGTCCCAGTCTGTCCACGATGACAGGCCTGCTGACACCCCTCTGAAATCTTGCCAATGTCGTATTCTTTGCCCTGGTAATGTTCTACCGAATGCTGAACAGAACATTACCAGAACCCCCCACAGAAAACCAGACTCCAAAGGCTACTTATAAACCCTTTAACTGGAGAGCAAGACCACGCTCAGCAGGAGGAGGAGCACCGAGGGCAGGGACAATGAAACGTCCATTGGAAATGCAGTGTCAGGTCCAGAGCAGAAACCACAGAAGCCAGAAAAGGAAAAAAAGGCACAAGAAGCGATTATTAGTTTCCTAATTATCCTGCGTGTAAAACAGATGAAATAGACCTTTTAAGCCAACAGCATAGAAATAACTTTAAAGAATGGCTGTGCCACTAAGGATTGTTTTGCAGTGTTTATCAGTTTTCAATTAAAATATTGATACTTTAAAAAATTCATACTTTTGGAAAAAAATCACAGAAATAACTTGCTTACAATGGGAGAGCTGATCAAAGATTACTAGCTTAACACTAACTATATTTCTTATTAAGAAAAACTAGGAGCCATGATTAATAATGCTAGTTGACAGTGGGTAGCGTCCTGATATTAGAGTCCAAAATTCTCTATTCCTTTTCACCCCTGTCATCTATTTATTTAATTGGGGCAGACCGATACACTAAATGGGATGATCTGCCACCTATGTAATTTATAAACTTAAAAAACATATCGTCATATATATATACACACTACCAAGCCTACAAAATTCCATGAAAAACTATTTTTCCCAGACTACAATATATAACATCAAAATGAATCTAAAAGTCAATTCTATGCATAATTATTCATTTTGAGTCAGCTGAACAGTAGGTAAACCACTGTCAAATTAAGCACTTAAAAAAATTAGAACTTCCCTGCAAAGTCTCTGATCACCCATTCATTCCAGTGGTGAGTGGCTTTTCTTAAATCTCAATCTCCTTCCCAGCAGGATACCCAGTCTGATAAAATGTCAGTTTCCACTGAAGGGAAGGCAGAGGAGAATGGGATAAAACATGGATAAAACAAATCCGTATTTTCACAATGGGCAAATGAATTATTCTGATCATTATTCTTTTGGAAGGGAGGGGGAGGAATGAAACCTTGAATATTTGTATAAACCCAGCATGTGCTTGATGGTCCAAACGACAGGTGTACATCACAGAACAGGGCAAGACCCTCCTGTCTAATTCACGTTCCTACATGCAGACAAAAAGACAGCACCAAATTGGTGAGCACGATCCTCTTTAAAAAGCCCAAGAAAAAAATTCCTTTATCAGTATAAGCCAATTTATCTGAAAACATCTTGAGAGTAGGATGTTTTCCTTGATGCTTAACTTAAAATTTATTCCCATTGAAGGCAGATAGTTTGGATTTCCAAAGGCAAAGGGTTAGTTACCATAAAGATCATCAAATCACTCTTTGGCCTTTTCCCCACATTGAAACAATCAAACAAACAACTACAACTGCTGTTCCTCTCCCAAAAGATTGTACTTTTCATGTGGTCAGCGATCTGAGTATCCCCCGCCTCTCCTTTAATGTCTCCATTCAAGAGAAGCAAGCCCCTGGCCAGAAGGTGTTCCTTAAGGTGGTAGGTTTTAAATGGTGACAACTGAAAAACAAAAATGCATTTGGTTCATAGTATACCTACAATCCTCTGTATATGTGTGTTTGTGTATGTATGTGTGTATATATATGTATGTATGTATGTATGTATATATATATATATATATATATATTTAAACCTGTCTTATATTTGGGAAGAATAATTTCTTATGTTTCTGAAAACGCTAAAATGAACTTGTTCTTGAACCTAGCAATCGCACTGTTCTGTCCAAATAATTTTCTCAGGTTTTCTAAGTCAGCTCAACCTTCAATTCTACATATAAGCCTCAAAATTAGTTATGTTCTATATAGTCCACCAGGCAAATGATGACATTTTTAAAAGATTACACATTGCTCAATTATCGTCTCCATATTAGACTGAACCCAGTACAATCCCATTGGTGCACTGGCTCAAAACCCCACGACTGGTATGTGTGTGTATGTTACTATAAACCAAAATGCACTCACAACACTTACATTTAACCAGCCATCAGATTAGATACTAGCAGTACAGCTGCTCAGACAGAGGGCTAGTTTTGTTTTTGCTTTTTAATCTGGTTGGGTAACACAGTCCAGCCCCCACTGCTAGACTTGGAATTACTGAAATCTCGTTTAATTAATAGGTTCAAAACATCTCAAGGCCTCTCTAGTACGAGTATTTTTCAGTAACCTATAAATGGCACAATCATGCCTCTCGTGAAATCAAGAGAAAATAAATATCCAACAGGAGTAACTATTCTCAGTGTCAAACTAATGCCATGAAAAAAAGTACAACTATCAGAGAGGGCGAATCTTTTCCATCTCTCCCCGGCCTCACAGCTGAAGCTGCTAACGTGTCTGATGAAAACCTTCGGTGCTTTTAGAAAACGGAACTTGAGATTTCAAAACAAAGACCCTCCTCATAGGGCAGGAACGGGGGAAGGGCTGGGCCAGGTAAGACGTGCCTTAACTTGGGAGCCACTCTGCAGTGGCGCTGTTGGCCTGCGCCGCCCGTGCCAGGGGCACCCCCAGTCACCAGGAGGTGAGCGTGGGACGCCCCTCCCAGCTGAGATAGATGCAGGGTGGTCCAGGGGGGCAGGTCTTGGGAGGGGCAAGGGGCTCAGTTCAGTAGCTAACACGGTAAGCGGAGCTAATGGGGTGCAGGCGGGACGATGATCCAAAGGCCCAAGGCAGCTGGCAGGGTGGCGGGGCGACGTGCAGAAGCCCATCCCCTGGGTGCGGACGGCGGGGCCGGGACGCCGCTGCCCCTCGCGGCGTTGCCTGGCCTGGGGCTCGGGGTGCGGGCCTGGGGACACCCCGTTTGCAGCGTGCTTGGTAAACGGTGGGCGTGACTCGGCGTCGGGAGCCTCCCGGTGGGTGAGGCTTCCCGGGCGCGGGCGCCGCCCGGCCGGGGCCACTCACCGAGGTTGATGACCTTGAGCGCCGTGAAGAAGCGGTTCTGGCCGGCCAGGTCCTGCCAGGGGGCCTTGGAGCAGTGGTACTTGATGAAGGGGAAGCAGCCGGTGCGCAGGACGTGGTAGTTGGCGCCCGGCACCGGCCAGTTGAAGTGCGAGAGGCCGAACTGGTCGTTGCGGACGGCGCTGTAGCGGACGCAGAAGGAGGTCCAGGGCGGCAGGCGCCGCTGCAGCAGGTGCTGCGTCAGCACCTCCGAGGCGCG